CTCCCCAAAGAGGTTTTATGATGCTCAGATTTTGGGGAGAACTATTACTGTCCCTCAAATAGAGAATGCCCCATCTATATCTCAATTGCTTAGATGGGAGGTTGTAGAAATCAAACGAACAAATAAATTTCTTGTGCCACACACATTGTCCCTTGCCCCAAACTCTGGCTGATTATCTGTCTGTCTGTCTGTCTGTCTGCCTATCTATCTTCTATCTATCTATCTATCTATCTATCTATCTATCTGTCTGTCTGTCTGTCTGTCTGTCTGTCTGTCTGTCTGTCTGTCTGTCTGTCTGTCTGTCTATCTATCTATCTATCCATCTATTATATTTCTACATTACCCAGCTCAACTTAAATTATCTTAGTTAAGATAACTAAAATAAGTAAGTTATCTTAATCATCTCAGTTCTCTAATGCTTTGCAAATGTTAGAACAGAGAAATAATTTTTAACATGAACAGACAGGGAAAATGATTCAACACAAGGTCAGAGTTAGATTATTGGTTGTTGTTTTTTTAAAAAAAACTTTTTAACTTGTTGTTTGGTTGCATTGGATTTATATCTATCTGTCTGTGGACCTATCTGTGGACCTGTGTCCACAGTTTCTGAAGTGCAGCTCATGGACCATCAGTTAAAGGATAAATCCAGCCTTAATTTGTTCTTGATGAAGCTACTTATCTACTTAAATGTGGGGGGGGGGACTTTATAAATGTATAAAATCCAATTTTGGGAGATTGGAGTAAATTATTCTAGCTGTTCCTCCCCTTTAATCATTCTGGTTGCACCTGGTACATATAAAAGACCTATTACTTCCAGCTCCTTGCAGTTCAGATAAATATTTTCCAGGGAGATTTCATTTTCTTATTAGAGGTATGGCATCTGCAAAGTATGTCAAAGTTTGCCCATAACAATCTTTTTGTTATAACAGAATTAAAGTGAAGATTGTTGATCCTGGCAGACATAGGCCAATTACATGCGCCCTTCCCCAGGTCAAAGTCTGTTGTTTTTCAGGTCTCCTTCTGGAGTAGCTCCCAGATTTATGGGATAATCATCCTACACTGTCCTCCACCTACCTTTGTAAGTCCTCGACTTACAACAGTTCAGTTAGTGACTGTTTGAAGTTACAACGGCGCTGAAAAATGTGACTTATGATCATTTTTCACACTTACGACCATAGCAGCACCCCCAGGGTCACGTGATCAAAAATCAGATGCTCGGCAACTGGCTCGTACTTACGACGGTTGCTGTGTCCCAAGGTCACATGATCCCCTTTGGCGACCTTTCTGACTGAAGGGATTTTATTGTGCTTATGATTTTAGTATGTTTAAGTTTGACATTAGCATTTATTTTATATATAGTAACCATTTTATATTGATACTTATAGTGTTATCATGTAATCATTGTTTTGTTATTTTGTAATCATTATTTTGTAGTTAGTTGCTTGATCAGATGCTTTATATATATATATATATTGGAAAAGTAAGGGCTTTATGCTTTAGGTATAGGTGATTGCTTATATGAAAAGAGCACAGTAAGGGGAGGGGGGGAAAGGAGTTACGGATGGAGCCTGGGTTGCTGTGTATGAGTCATCATCTAGGAATTATTTTTTTGTGCCATCTTATGCCTAGTACCAAGACCTGATCTTTTTGTTCTGCAAAGGTATAAAAGGTGGAAGACATCTTTTCTGGTTGTTGCCTTCATCTCTCTACCAGCCACGAAGAGAGATGGGGTCGCCCAACTCTATTTTGATCAAAATAAAAGTTGCTTGCTTGCTGAAACCTCGACTCAGGAGTTTCTTTGCCTCTTTTAAATTCCTGAGTAATGCTGGGGCAGTTGTGAGGCTAAGTGGAAAACCTTACATCCTGGCACCCAACGTGATGGAAGCCACAATGGCTCTCCCCTCACATCTGGAGACCCCTGTTAAGGTCCCAATGGGGAAACCAGATTTACTTAACAACCGGGTTACTAACTGATCAACTGCAGTGATTCACTTAACAGCTGTGGCAAGAAAGGTCGTAAAACGGGGCAAAGCTCACTTAAGAAGTGCCTCACTTAACAACAGAAAGGTTAGGCTGTAGTTGCAGGGCTATCTGTAGTTGCAGCAGCAGTAACGTTGCACTGTTATGACTACGATTGTTATTATTATTAAGGCACAGATTGGGAGGAAGATGGCCGTGGAAAGATCAGCATGCAGGGGGGGGGAAATTGTTCTCTTTTGCTTCCTGGTGAAAAATAAAATACGCCATTGGATAAGGATGCCCGGTCAGATCCCTGAAGGGCGCGAATTATCTAATAAATAAATAAACCGATCCCATGTTAGTTTTATCTCATATTTACCTTGCTATCACCAGTTCTTATATTCCTGCTCAAGCAGGAAACCCTATACCATTTCGGACAAATGGCTGTCCAGTCTCTTCTTAAAAACTTCCAGTGTTGGAGCATTCACCGCTTCTGGAGGCAGGTTGTTCCACTGGTTAATTGTTCTAACTGTCAGGAAGTTTCTCCTTAGTTCTAAGTTGTTTCTCTCCTTGATTAGTTTTCATCCGTTGCTTCTTGTCCTGCCTTCAGGCGCTTTGGAGAATAGCTTGACTCCCTCTTCTTTGTGGCAGCCCCTCAGATATTGGAAGACTGCTATCATGTCACCCCTAATTGTTGTTTGTCCTCCTTGAAACCAACCTGGTTGGTAACAATTCCTTTTTGCACACTGTCTCCACAGCAGAGACGGGAAGTTTTCTGGGTTCATCACAGGCAACAGATGATATTCAAACCCATAAAAGGGATGAGCCCATCTAACTAAGGTAGCTGTTGAGATGGAAAACCCTTGTTGGGTAAGTCTCCACAGTTCGCTGCTCCTTGTTTTATTTTGTGCTCCTTGATAGAAACCTTTAGAAGCTGCCCTGGGTCAGTAGCTCATACTGGATTCCAAGCATTGAGGTGAGACTCAGAGATGCAGTGGAAAACACTCAACAAATAGCAATAGAAATAGCACTTAGACTTATATACTGCTTCACAGGGCTTTACAGCCCTCTCTAAGCAGCTTACAGAGTCAGCATATTTGCCCCCAACAATCTGGGTCCTCATTTTACTGACCTCGGAAGGATGGAAGGCTGAGTCAACCCTGAGCCAGTGAGAATCGAACTGTAGTCAGCCGGCAGTCAGCAGAAGTAGCCTGCAGTACTGCATTCTAACCACCGTGCCACCAAAACTCAATTAAAAAGGGGGTGAAGTCACTAAACCTCCCAATAGATGCCACCGGTATCACCCACCCCTCCCTTATAGTTACCTGGATCTCTTTGATGTGAAACGCCAGGATCAGGATCACTAATCCCACTGTGGAGAGGGTGATGAGGCACTTGGTCATGAAGGCATAAGCAAACCACTGAAAGGAGAGCAAGAGAGAAGAGATGGGTTAAGGAAATTCCTCAAGGATGTGGGCCTGAAACCAGCAAAGGTTTGAGAGGTCTCCCTTTGGTTTGAGGGCCACAAAGAATGTATGGAATGGATGGAAACTAATCAAGGAGAGAAGCAACCTAGAACTAAGGAGAAACTTCCTGACAGTTAGAACAATTAACCAGCGGAACAACCTGCCTCCAGAAGCGGTGAATGCTCCAACACTGGAGGTTTTTAAGAAGAGACTGGACAGCCATTTGTCCGAAATGGTATACTATAGGGTTTCCTGCCTGAGCAGGGGGTTGGACTAGACGACCTCCAAGGTCCCTTCCAATATTATTATTATTACTATTATTACTATTATTATTATTATTATTATTATTATTATTATAGATCAGATAAGATAAGATAAGATAAGATAAGATAAGATAAGATAACCTTTATTGTCATTTTTTTACTGTGGGCACAACGGCACACATCAAAAATGAAATTTAGTTGCCCGCTCTCAAAGTGAAACACATACATGACACACACCTAAACATACTATATACAACATATGTATAGACCCACACCCCTACATATACATAACAAATAAATATTAAATACTGTCCATCTTGAATATATAACGGAAGTAGGAAGCTTGAGAGTTCACAAGGTTAATGCTGTATGGGATGAAACTATGGCTGAATCTGGATGTTCTGCTATGGATACCACGAAGCCCCCCCCCCCGAAGGTAACAAGGAAAGCAGGTCGTGAAAAGGATGTGTGGTGTCCCAGATAATCTTACAGACCCTGCTCAAGCAGCGCTTCTGTGCTATGTCCTTGAAAACACGGTTTTTGTAGTACTGTTGCACTGGCTAGCTAACATGGGGGGGGGGTTGTATTTATTTGTTTATTTTCAATGGTATTGCAATTAATTTCCCATAAGCCTTAACCTTCAAGAAAAAGCCTCTTTCAGAAACCAGGACTGGCAGGAGAGCATTCAGTACATTGTAGGTAACCGTTTCATGTTTAGTTCTTCTCAAGCCCCCATAAACAAAGAAAATAGTCCATCCAACCTTGGGAAGCACTGAGAATGTTATCTTACCCATTTTAATGTTTTTATTTTGCAAATGTTTCTTTTACATTTCGTCAGAATACAATGCTCTTTTCTAGGGCTATGCTCACATATTACTGCTGTAATGTAACTGAACAGGTGTCATGTCTCTTTCTAAAAAAAACCAATCCAGGTTTGCTTTGAAGTTCTTTGTTCTGCTAACTATAAAAGTAAGTGTAATCCATTTCTCGAGATTTCCCCCTTCTCATGGGGAGACCGCACTTTATCAGAGTACTCTAATAAATTACTTTTAAATGATCTTGGTTGCTTATTAGAAAAAAAGGTAAACTGAGGCAGAACCTAGGGCCAGATTTGGCCATCATGGTTAGAGAAGAATCATGCCTTCAAGTCTCCCCATGGCTATTTTGACTTTCTTCCATTCAAACAGGGGACTGAGACTGCCATGTTCCTTCTGGCCATTAAATAAGGGCTGCAGAATGTGTGGGAATGTGCATAAAGCATCTTTTGCTGAAAAAACAATCCTAATTTTTCCCCCAGGTGACACAGCAGTTTTGGAAGCTCTTCCTGGGCTGTCTCTGCCCACGTGGAGATATAAGCAATGGAGGAAAACATTTTTTTTCCCTTGAAGGAAAGCAGAGGCATGTCCAGCAAAAACAGCCAGAAGACCCTCAAAGCTGTTGCAATGGCTTGGAAAAAGATGCTCCTATTTTAGCGATTTTTTTTTTTTAAGTTGTGCATTGCAGACATTCCTGCAAATTCTGCAGGGTTTCATTCAAAGGTTTCCATAATAGCTTCTACAGCATACGATTCTGCTAGGTCAGTCTTTTTTGAATAGCAGTTTTGGGGGGGATGTGGACCTTTGGAACGGTGACGTGAAGTTGATGTGTGGAACCCAGCTTTTCCCAACCTCACACTATGCCAGGGGTGTCAAACTGCCGGCCCGCGGGCTGGTTTCATCATACCGAAACCGCACCCATCCCATTGCCGGCAATGCAAAAAGAGTCGCAATACGTCACGTTGAGGAAGATTTATATAAACCCATTGTTTGCTGGTTTTTTAAATGACATTTGTAGGCCCTTTTCATGTTAGAGTTCTGGAGAAATTGGAATGTTTAAGGGGATTATATTGGAGGAGGAGGAGGAGGAGGAGGAGGAGGAGGAGGAGAAGAAGAAGAAGAAGAAGAAGAAGAAGAAGAAGAAGAAGAAGAAGAAGAAGAAGAAGAAGAAGAAGAAGAAGAAGAAGAAGAAGAAGAAGAAGAAGAAGAAGAAGAAGAAGAAGAGGAGGAGGAGGAGGAGGAGGAGGAGGAGGAGGAGGAGGAGGAGGAGGAAGGAGGGTGAAGAGATGAGACGAGGAGGAGGATGATAAAAAGAAAGAGCAGGAAGACAGGAGGAGGAAAAAGGAAGGAGTGGGAGAAGAAAGAGGAACAGGAGGAGGAGGAGGAAGAGAGAAAGAAGGATAAGACAAAAGAACAGAAGGAAAAGGAAAAGGAAGAGAGAAGGAAGAGGAGGAAGAGAGATGGAGAAAGAGATGGAAGAGACCAGGAGAAGGAAGGAGATGGAGAAGGATTGTTGTGGTCTTTTAGTGCACGCAAAAAATTAAGGTGCACTTTGAAAATCCACTTGTAAAAACTATAACTAAATGCACAGCTGCAGCCATCTGCCAATGGAAGAAACCCCACCAATGGAATGTGTTCCCACTAGAATTAGCCTGGTACAATATCCTTGCACTCTGGCACCTTGCTGGGGGGAATACGGTAGGTGAATTCACCAAACACATTCAATACCTGGCTATCAGCCACGGAAGTTGTCTGGAACTCAAGAAAAACGCTACGGCAATAAGTTCAAGGCTAACAGAAGGAAGTCATTGTTCACACAGTTTAAACAAAACATTATTAACAAGGGATTCACTGCAGGGATCACACCTTGTCCGTGCTGAAAGATCTATCTTTGGTTCCCATTTGTTTTTTTGGATCTGGGACAAGATCAGATATCCTGCAGCAGCTGTTAGCATCTCTGCGGGCCATTCATGAGATTTTCGGTGTTCCTTTTTTTTAAAAAAACAAAAACAAAAACAAAGAAATACTCAAACAAAACACCTGGCCTGGTGCCCTGACTGGAAATAGCCAAATTAAATAAGCATTTAATTTCCCATAGTTCTCCTAAAGCGGTCTTGAGCTAGGCACCGGTTGTAAGTCGCTGTTTGCTGTGTAATTTCAAACGGTCACTAAAAGAATGGTTGTAAATAAAAGACTACTTATATATGCAGCTCCCAAAACATTCCATGCAACGTAAATGTAGTCTTTTATCCCTAATGATCAGTAGTGGGATTCAGCCAGTTCGCACCAGTTCGGCAAAACCGGTAACTAAATTTTTGTTGTCCAGGCCCAGAATGGACTTCCGGAAGCGGCATCCACACAGAGAACCGGTTGTTCCCATATTTGAATACCACCACTGCTAAAGACTGTGTGTTCAAGCTGAGTATGTTCATATTTGAGTCAACAGTGTAGCTCAAAATGCAGCAGCCGCATTTTATGGCCAAAAATCAGGAATCTGGACGCATCTTTCCTGAGTAACCAAGTTTATCTGAAGGCAGAAGCTTTTGTGAGGTGCCATTCACGTCATCAGATGCATGAGCAGCTAGATTTTATGTAGCTGCTGAGGGAATCTGCAGCACATGAAAACTTTTGCCTTGAAAAACAAAGCTCCTTCTGATTTTTGACCACCATAAAGTAACCCGGTTTTTCTCTTACAATGTCTAAAGCATGTTGTAGCTTCTTTGACTCGCCTCTTAGTCTTTCAATGCAGTATTTCTCAACCTTGGCAACTTTAAGATGGATGGACTTCAACTCCCAGAATTGAAGTCCACCCATCTTAAAGTTGCCAAGATTGAGAAATCCTGTCTTTAAGGACCAGGCTTCTTTTTTTCGTCCTTGCTGCATGGAAGGAGTTAAATATTGCTACCTCAAACACAGGCGAGGTGAGGGAGTAAGGCTGTGCCAATAGACCCAATCTACGATTGTGTTTTCCTGTTGCCGTGACATTCACCTAGATAAACCACCTTGACACCTGAGCCAGGTGTTCTTTAGAAAAAGCGGCCTGTTTCAAGTGAAGCCTGTCCACCCTGGCCCTCAAGTCATAACTCTGAACAGAGTACATAATACATGGGAGATTGTATTGCAGTAGGATAGCACCATAAAACCTTTCTTGGAAAAGTTTTACAATCTGCCTCTTTGTGGTTTCCAGGGAAGGAGGTACCACTTTTATTCCAGGATCCCTGTAATTTCCTCTTTGAGGATGATAAGGAGCTAATAATAAAAAAAAAAACAAGTACGTCCTTGTGGACAAGGTTTGTTCAGCCTTGAAGAAGTGGCACTGCTCAGGTTTGATTTGGAAAGGAAAATAAAAAGCCATGGACTTTGAATCTGGATATTGAAGGACGGCCAAGGCAGCAGGGGAGAAACATCCTTAATAAATATTATTGCAATATGTTTACCTTCAGAGATAAACAATCAAGATAATTAACTGTGTTCACCATATAAACACATAAATGCACATGGTTAGCTGACCACCATTTCTGACCTTCCCAGCCAGCTTCCAGGAAGGAAAGTTAATGCGGGAAGCTGGATCCACTTAAGGACCATTTGTTTTGCTTAACGACTGCAGTGATTCGCTTAACAACTGTGACATGGCATTCGTGTCAGAAACACTGAGGTACTTCCGGGTTGAAAGGATTCGCTCAGTGTTTCTCAACCTTGACAATTTTAAGGCGTGTGGACTTCAACTCCCAGAATTCCACAGCCAGCATTGCTGGCTGTGGAATTCTGGGAGTTGAAGTCCACATGCCTTAAAATTGTGAAGGTTGAGAAACACTGCTAGCTGGTGATATCACCGTTGCCCGGGGGATGGCTCATGTTCCCAGCAGGAGCTGGAGCG